TCACCTGGCGCTTGGCCCAGGGTCATTCAACTGGCTTTCATGCCTGAGGCAGGACTAGAACTCACAGTCACCTGGTTTCTAAGCCAGCACCTTAACCACTACTCCAAACTTCTGTATCAGTGCCAAATCTTAGCGCCCAGCTGGGATCCCTTTTCTTCCATTTCCAAATTGAGGATGTATTGCACTATGGGAAGGATCACGCGATCACCTTTTGGGATCTTCTGACCAGCAAAGTCAGTAGGGAAGCCAGATTCACTTTACAACCATGTTACTAACTGCACAGCTGCAGCCGTTCACTTAACGTCAAGAGAAAGGTTGCAAAATGGCCAAAGTCACAAAACAAACTGTCCTGGTTAGCAACCAAAATTTTGGTTGCTCCGTAGCATCTTCTGAAGCTGGTCTTTTGGTCTGGCTCTCAAAAGGACCGTCTCTGAGCTCAACGGGCAGCTGGAATACGAGCAGATGCGACGGGAGAAGTTGGAAGCTCAACTGGACGAAGCCCGAGCAGAAATCGGAAAACTTAAAAAGCTACAAGGAAAAAACGAGATGTCTTCAACCCATAAGCTCTCTGTGGCGAGTATCATTTTTCTTTTAGATAAATTGTGATTGTTGGCATTGTTGATAATTTGATATATGGGTCACTTTTTTAAAAATAATAATCCTGTGATTCTGTGTTCAAACTATAGGAATGCTTGACATCTGAATTTTCTGAGATGATCCAAGAGATAACAGATACAGATAATCAGAGTTGGAAGGGACCTTGTAGGTTATCTAGTCCAACCCCCTAACTAAGCAGGAGACCCCACACCATTTCTGACAAATTGCAGTCCAATCTCTTCTTGAAAGCTTCCAGGGATGAAGCTCCCACAACTTCCGAAGGCAGCTTCTGTTCCATGGGTTGATTGTTCTCACTGTCAGAAAGTTTCCAGGTTGAATCTCTCTTTGTTCAGTTTCCAGCTATTAATTCTTGTCTAGCCTTCAGATGCTTTAGAAAATAGCTTGATCCCTTCCTCCTCTCTGTGGCAGCTCCTCAAATATTGGAAGACCTCTATCATGTCTCCCCTGGTCCTTCTCTTTACTAGACTAACTAAGCCCAGTTCCTGCAACCGTTCATTGTATGTTTTAGTCTCCAATCCCCTAATCATCTTGATTGCTCTTCTCTACACTTTTTTAGAGCCTCAACATCTTTTTTATAGTGTGGTGACCAAAACTGGATGCAGTACTCTAGGTCTTACTAAGGATTTATAGAGTGATATTATAACTTCACTTGATCTTGATTGTATCCTTCTATTAATGCAATTTAGGATTGCATTAGCTTTTTTGGCTGCTGCTGCACACTGCTGACAAGTTTTTAAGTTTCTGGGTGTTACCCTAAAAGAGGACCTGACTTGGAGGTGTTCACATTGCAGCCCTGGTCAAAAGGGCCCAGCAGGGATTATATTACCTGAGACTTCTCAGGAAACAACTGAATGAAAAACTGCTGGTGACCTTCTACCACTGCAGCATAGAGCAGAGGTCTCCAATCTTGGCTACTTTAAGACTTGTGGACGTCAACTCCCAGAATTCATGGCTGGCTGGGGAATCCTGGGAGTTGAAGTCCACAAGTCTTAAAGTGGCCAAGGTTGGAGACCCCTGGCATAGAGAGCATTTTAACATACTGCACCTCTGTATGGTTTGCCAATTGTACAGTGGCAGATAGGAAAGCACTCCAGAGGGTTAACGTCATTGCCCAGAGGATCATGGGTTGCCCTCTCCCCTCTTTGGAAGAGCTTTATAGCTCCTGCTACCTTAAGAAAGTTCAAAACATTATCAAAGATCCATCTCATCCTGGGCACCCTTTTTTTTTTTAACTATTACCATCTGGAAGACAGTAGAGATAATAAAAACAAGGACAAATAGGCTGAAAAACCAGATTCTATCCCAGCGCAGTAACACTATTAGATTCTACTGTATAGTGCAATATTAATACAATATTAGGGGTTTTCAATTCAGTTGTATAGAATATGAAAGATGTGTGTTTGTGTTTTATTTTCATAGTCATAATGTACACGGAAGATAGTATTTAATTTCATTGTACGAGGTGCAATGACAATAAAGTAAAGTAAAGTAAAGTAAAAAGTAAAGAGTAAAGTAAAGTAAACTTTCAATGTCATTTATCACCCGAAGCAGAGAGTGGTGTTAATTTCTAATGTCGCTTGCAGGAGTCATTGGATTTCTTGAAAGAAGAGCCTGATTTAGACACAGCCGCCTCCGATTTGCCTAAAGTGAGTTTTGACACCAAGAAAGAGAAGAGATTGAAGAAAAGACCCCTCTTCGGCCCTGGGGGTGTGATTGTAAAAAGATTCTAAGAAAGACAAGGAGGAAACAAAAGTAAGCATTTTACTCAAAGGGAAATCAAGTTCAGTCGCCTTCCCAGACAACCCTAAGCACAAAAGAAGGTTAACTAACAATGCCACCTCCTTAACTAGATAAAGCACATCTGTTTATGGCATCATAAATATATTGCCTTGTCAGAATCTGAAGTAACGTATAACCTGTCCATATGCACGGATCCACCTGTCGGAATGCAAGTTACATCTAAGTTTGCACGCGTTTTGATTTAAGCAGGCATTTTATGGGCCCCATAAGCCTAAATCACCTTTCTCCTTCCAAATCCAGATTAATCCAGACTAATCGAACATCGGTTTTGTGCAACCTTTTAAACATGAAAACACTGCAGCCCTCAGAATGTAATTCTAGCAATTTTGGGAATCATGGATTTAACCCGTTTTGAGGTTCCCAAAATTTGGAAAGGCTGCCTCCAAAACCGGGTTGCCATTACGGATAAGGGTTTTTAAAATGCACTGCTAATTACGATACACTGGCTTGTTCTTAAAGGCTAACTTTTTTTTTTTTTTTAAAGAAAAGCTCTGATGCTTATGTCGCCCCTTAGCCAAGGTTCAATGACATATCTACTGTACGATGAAGACACTAATAAATGGAATGGTTTAATATGAGTGATGCATTTGTTGTATTTTAAATCAGCAAGTCCAAGAACTGCAGCAGAAATGGACCAAAATACAAGATTTGTTTTTCTTCTACATGGTGAAACTTCTTTTAAAAGGGGCGGGGGAAATGGGCTTACAGGAATTCAAAGAAATGGTTGAAGGCCATCTTGGTGAAATGAGATGTGTTGGTTTACCGTTGTGGCCTGTCAGTCACTGGCCCCTCCAGCAGCCAAATCAGACGTGAGTTGGAGGCGTGGGAGTTAGGGTTAGCATCAAAGCAACCTGAGACTCTGAGGAGGAAGAGAGAATGGAGCTGGCAGAGAGAGAGAGAAAGGTGGAGCCTGGGCCACCCGTCAGCCCTCAAATGGAGAGTCAACAGCCCCCAAGTCTGGAGGTGATGAGGAAAAGGAGGAACAGCTGTGTCCGATGCCTGATACACGGTTATGCAGAAGGCAGAGGAGAGGAGAGCTGTGGAAATCTATGGGCCGGTCCTTGGGACGGAAGAGCCACTGCTGCTAGTGAAGCCCCACCTTAGCTCTGGGGATAAAAGGCAGGGGGCAGAGATGAATAGATGTGGCAGACAATTATTCATCTCCCTGCTGGAGCGACTTTTTGGTCTGCGGAGAGAGAGAGAGAG